AACAAATGATTAAACTCAATTATCTCAAAATAAATTATATGTAAAAAAGGGCTGTTTTAATAGACAACACCCCATATAATACGGTATAACCAATATTTTGCTTCTATATAGTTTAATATGGTTCGGAATCTTTCGGAAATTTCTAAAATTAGCTTGTTTAAATCGGAAATCTTTGTGTCCTCAAATAAAACAATTTAATTGGTTAAATTGTTTTTAATTATGGTATTATACCTATATCCTCTGTCCGGGTAAACCAATTGTATAATACGGAAATCATGTGACCGGAAAATCGATCCTACGCCCTGTCAATTTCTCCAAAGGACCGATTAACATCCCTATGCGGGCAATTTTTCTTTTAATTCTACGAATTCACAGAATTAAAATAATAAAATTCGTCAAATTCGGATAGTTGGTTGTTGAGAAATCTTTGTTTAAAGTTAAAAGAATCCAATTTTAGTATCTTTTCAAGATATTTTTAATTGTTTTTAAAATTCTAGCGATGATTTCTCGACACCTACTAAGCCAAATTCAATAAACTTTTTTTATTTTAATAAAAAATTTTTTTGCCAAAGTTTATCATTAGAAATTTTAAAAAGCTTTCTAATTTTATTAATAAGATCTTTCTATATATGTTACACAGATCACGTGGGCGAAATTTTTATGATTTAAATCAGGAAATTTTGTTTCCTGGTTTTCATTCTCACGCACGCACTCATTTATAATTCCCGTGATAATCAGACTTAGTACGGAATGTTAAGATGTCTACCTTTAACTTTACTACAAGTACTTTAACACTCAAAGCGATTCAAGGCTGGACGGTGGAAACTGTTGAAGCATTTTTAAAGTTCAAACAAACAGACTTTTCTCTTAGTGATGCTGAAATCCAAAAGCTTGTGGATTGTTCGGTCAATGGTCCAGCGCTTCTTAACGGAAACATAGATAATCTCATTTCAATTGTTGGTCTAAGATATGGGCCAGCTGTAAATGTTACGGCATTTGTGGAAAATTTAAATAACCAAAGTAGGTGTTATTATAAAAAAAAAACTAGAATTTAAATGTTTACGTCCATTGTTTAATTTTCGTCTTTAACTGTCATATTTACTAATCAAAATCGTTCAAAAATACGCGTTATCTTTAGGACAGTGTAAGCATTGCTACTATATTTAAATTTATAAAATCTATTTCGTTTATTAATCTAACCCATTATTAATACTTATATTTTTTCTCTAAATATTTAGCATTAATGCCTCATGTACACATTTAATCTCTTCTAAATAGCGTTACCTATTATTAATAATTTATCTAATCTCTGATTTTAAATTAAGCGCGGTAAGAAACGCCGTCGTATGTTAGAAGATAATACTCTTGAATATTGTCGACAGATTGCAACACCATTCGAATCTCCACCCAATATTTCAGAATTAAACTCTATGCTTCTTCAACCTTTCAATTTGAAGATTCCTCTTTCGCCACTTCTATACAAGTATTGTGAAAGATTGTGTAAATTTCCTATTACTGAATATTTCGTTGAAAGTCCTTGGGATACACAATTAGATGAAGAGGACGTTTGTCATCCAGCAGAATTGTCTAATTATTGTTATGTAGCTTTGCAAGGAGTTGATGTTGGTTCCCGTGAATTTTGTGATTGGGATAGTTTGATTCGTAACCCAACGAGTGTTCTTAGACAAAACTTTAAAACAAAGTCTCTGTGGAAAGCTAACCGTAAAACAAACGATTCATCAATCACATTAGCTGGTCGTATGCCTGATTATTGGGAAAACCTTAATGATGTTCTTGTTTTTAAAGGAGAAGAGAAGCCAACAGAAGATGGCTTAAAAGATGCGAAAAATGAGCTCATATCAAAGATGAGAGCATGGAACCGTTGCCTTTTCGGTGACCTTAAATATATTCTTGCATATGCAGCGGGAGGTGCTCATTTACAATTTTATGCTATTGATCCGTCGTTTAACTTACATCTTATTTCGGACACATTGAATGTAGGCAGCTTGAAGGATCGGGTTAAAGTAATGGAATCATAGTTTAATTTGAATTTAGTTTAATTATTTGTTATTAATTTATATAATTTCTATTAGGCTCTTATCTGTATTTTCAATATCCATCGTATTATACGATCTATGGAATCATTATTACCTGAAACCGTTGTACCAGCTTGGAGACTTTTTAAGAGAAAATACGGTGACATTTTTATCACAGACACTGAGATAGAGAAACGGATTTTCCCATTTTCAACGTATCCCTTCAACTATATAACAGTATTAACAGATATATACCGAAATACAAAGAATAATCGAAATACTATACGTGCTGTTGAAGGTCCACAGATAGTTAACGATTCATATAAAGTAAAACTTACCCCGGTAGGAGTTAGACGGATGCCAAGAACAGAACAAGAAGTTAAAGCTGCCATTAGCTGTGTCTTGAATGCTCTTGTGGATTAGGTTATGTTCATCGAGATGTTCGATGGGATAATATTCTTCAGGTGATAGATAATAGTTGGATGTTAATTGATTTGGAGTGTGCTGGTATTGATAATGAAAGAGTTTATTTCGACCCGTCAGAAGTTTGGGCACCAGAAGTAATTGAAACCAAGATATATACTAAAAAGGCAGATGTTTATATGGTAGGAAGATTATTTAGATATGTTTATATTTCATTATCTGAAAAAGCATATGAATTTGAGAAGGCTACCACCGCAGAGCTTGAAATTCGTTTAACAGCTCAAGAAGCTCGTCAACATCCTTGGCTTTTAAATATTTGAATTATGCTAAGTAATGATCTTAGTTAATAACGAAAAAATTAGAGTCAATCTTCGATATTACCTCAAATATTAAAGTTTTTAATATACAGTATAAGAATAATAATATAGTCTATATATAATTTGATTCTGAGTTTATGCAACATTTTTATTGGTTCAGACCCAAAATATCATAATTATTTTGTTGATTCGAATACTGTGCAGTTTATAAAAATTATTTCTCAAAGAATATTCTGCATAGTCTACCTGTGCCCTATATCTTAACACGAAAAAAGAATAATAGCAACGTTCTACCTAATCTAACCATTAAAAGGGATCCCATGTAAAAGCTAAATTTTATAAGCTTCGTTTACTACACGTACTTTCTAAAATACTGTAATAATGTGTTATAGTATATTACAGTTTACAAGTTAAAAGAGAGTTGAAAAGCTACAAAGTGCAGGATGATTAACGAAGCCATCTAAAAAATTTTTATTCAAAAATATACAATAAATAAATAATAATATCATATATGAATTTGATTGTGGCTTGTTACTATGCTAATAACCTGGCACACATTTAAGAAATGCATTCTGTAATTCAGTATTTACAAAGACAGCTTATGGTAATCACAGAAACATATAAGATGCCTTTATTTACTTTATTTAACAATTGACAAATGAAATAATTTGAAAAAACAGAACTTGATTTGTCTATTTAAAAGTGGTATTTGTTCTATAATCATGATTTACAATGAAATTTCTATGTTAAGCTGGCTGGACATTGATGAATAAACACATTGATTTGAAAATGAAATGTTGATATTCGAACGCTAAAAGAAAACTTTATATACTTGTCGCGTTAACAATTAAGTTTAAATTTACATGAATTATTTACGTGAATTAACGATGTAAATTATTACAAACTGAATGTGTTGTAATATAAAAAAAAATTATGAAGAGAATCAAAATTTTTCAAAAATCGTGGTGACTCAAAATTTCTGTTTATGAAATCACCTTTCATGTCTTAACGAAAAAAATTCATCACAGAGTTTAGTACATACCATCAACGTTAGTGATGGGACTTATTGGGGTTAGAAAATGAGGTTGCTTAATTGTCATACGTACCTTGCACTCTACTAAAAAAGAAAATAATGCGCCACTTTTTTACATGCTATTATCCTATGTGCTGCAATTAAGCAACATCTTCTAATCTTAATACTAATCCTAACATTATGCCTATTATTTTAATATGTGTGCATTATTGATTGTTTTCGATTTCATTGTATCGATCAGAGGCCTGACATAATCTACTGTACTTTGTCCAATCAGAGAAACGATTCTATAAAATCGTAAATATTAAGGCTAAAAGTCAACACATTTCCCTCGATGCCTAAAATAAACATAAATAGGTTCGTGACTTTAACTTATTAGAAGGGTTCAAAGTTATAAAAAATAATCACTAACCTAGTATTCACCTAAAAAAATAAAGGTTTGTCATTTGAGATTAAATTTAAAAGTTACTTTAATGCACAGTATATACTGTATTTATCAGCAAGTTAGTTAATTTTAATCCAAATTAATTTTTTTTTATCGTTCTAACTGTTAAGAAATTTGATAACTTAATTGATGATCCTCTAGTCAACTGAAGCATGATCTTAGTAAAATGTGACTCAGATTACTATATAAATTTACTACAGTGCGAATGTGGCATATGCGCATCTAAAACTTTTTTTTATACTATGTTAATTATCTTTCTTGCTTAAGAGACTTTTGTAAAGCTTGTCAAGACGCATCTAATAGTGGTTAGAGCGTCAAAATCGGCCTGGTGAGTACTGAGATATCTTTAAAAAACCTCTCTTTTACTATGTAAAATTCTTTGCAAACAAGAGTCAAACAATAGTATTGTTTGCAA